TTTTTTTTAAATTAATTTAAATATACATTTGAAACACAAACACCAAGCAAGAGCCTGGAGAAAAAAAGCAAAAAGAAGGAATGAGAAGTGAATTCGACCAGTTTAATTTAAACACCAAAGTCAGGTGGATTGCACCAAATGGAATAAATAATGGAGAAGATCATGCTGGGTTGGTAGATCTCACACTGACGATCATTTAAAACTAGAATTAATTACACAGCCCAAGAGAGTACTGAAGGAGGAAGTGCTCTGACAAGCGATGGTAGGTGGGGCAGTGTCCCTTTGGCAGAGCGGGCTGTAGGTGTGGGTTTGTCCCCTGACACCCAGCAACAATCACCACCCCAAGAGCAAGCGGGACGAGGAGTTTCTGTGATCGAGAGGACTCGACCCTGTCACCATGTACACACTGACAGCTCCTCGCGTGGGGTGCAGGAATCCTCCGCTTCAGCACCGTCTGGCTCCAAACACGCCCAAGTCAAACATCAAAACACAACCAGACCTTGTGTTTGCAGTGTGCAAAGTGAGCACACAGGTTTCTAGCGCAGCTCCCCGAGGTCTCATGCACCTGGGGCCAGGCTGGGAAGAAAAAAAAACCAAACAAACTCTCAACCAGCTAATCTAAACCTGCAGCCACCACTTTATCACCCCAGGGGTGGGCAGGCTGAAGGAATGTAAGTGGTTTCTTGTTGCTTGGTTTTCCCACCCCATAACCCCTGTGTTTAAAAAAACCCAACAAAACAAACACAAAATAACTTGATCCCAAGTTCCTCTCCCACCTCTGCCTGTAGCCAAGGAATGAAGCACCTTCGGAGGTTAGTGTGATCCCAGACATGTTCCCTACAAAGCAGACATCTCACCTCTGCACCTCACCTGGATGTGCCTGTGACATCTAGTTAGGAGGGACATCCCTTTGCTTTAAATCAAAAATAATTACAAGATCAATAATAATTATTCCCTTTCCCTTCCTCTGATCTTCAAGAAGTTCATCTAAGTCCGACTCATTTTTGAGAAAGGGAGAAAGGAGGGGTGAATGTTTCCAGGCCAAGGAACTTGCCGAGACCACGTCCCCTCGGCATCCCCGCGCGAACCCTTTGTGCTGTTGCTCTGACATCAATCGACACTGATGATGAACACGGGGATAAATTCAGCGCTGCAGTGGGCAGGAGGGCACACGGCTAGGCACGGTGCTTAGGGAGCATGTCCAGCAGGAACTCTGCGATGCCGAGGAAGTAGACGACTTGTGCGATGCCGAAGAGAGGAGCGATGACCAGGGCTCGGCAGTACGCCCCTTTCAGGAAGGCCATGGGACCTTCCTTCTGCCAGATCTTCCTAGGGAGGAACGGCACAGACAGGTAAGTGTCCATCCCATCCCTCCACCACGCCCAGAGAGCCTCTGCCCATGCCTCCCAGACCACAGATTAGCAAGGGGTGAGAGGAGAGTGGGCTGGGGACAGCCCATGCAGACAGTGCTCCTGCAGCCGCTGCTCAGAGCAGCCCTGGGAGGGATACAAGGCTTTGTGCTGTAGGATTTTCAGGCAACAGGGCCTTGGGAGACACAACCACGGCATTGCCTCCCTTTGCAGAAATAAAAAGTCAGTGTTATGACTGCTGGGGTTTGGACAGAAGCATTTAAATATAAATGCAATATCTGCCCTGCTCAAGACAGGAAGAATTTCTATTTTATGTACCTATATATATGAACAGTATATATCTGGCCATAGATCTATCTGTCCCTAGAGACAGATAAAAGCACAGGTTCAGAGGGAACCTGAAACAGAGAAGCTGCTGGCTGGGTCTAGAAGCTGCCCTGGCAGCAGGCAGCAGCAGCTGCCGTATGGCTGACATGGTGATCTGCTTCACCAGGGTCTTACTTGGTGCAGTCCAGGATCCCTGAGTAGGTGTCCTCGTTCACTCCTCTCTGCAAGGACTGCAGCCGCGTTTTGATCACTGGAGAGAAAGAGAAGAGAGACAGTGGTGAGCACTGGGAATGCAGCATGCTCTTCAGCAGGTGAGAGCCACCCTGAGAGTGTTGTCTCTGAAACAGCCAAAATGAGATCACCAAAACCAGACTGCTGTTGTATTTGTCAGCAAAACAGGGGAAAACAAACCCATTCCTTTAGAAATGGATAAAAGAAAACCACAGCCACCCAAAACTCAACCCCTGCCCTCACTGTGACCAAGGTTTCCAAGGGTGACTTAAGCTTTAAATGTTTATTTAAAGTGCATTTAAATTCCGGTATCTTTCTGCAAAATGGGAATTGATTTTCAAATACTCAGCTTCTTCTGGAGGAAGTATTTGAAGTACACCAAGCTGGTCTTACATTTCTTCACACTTTGGAGCGTGTGCAACGTTGGGGAGAGAGGATTTACTTTCCAGTGTTTTTCACAGCAGTGAAACTGAGGTGGTGTTTAAGGCAGATGCTGTGGGGCAGGATAAAAGGCCACAGATCTGAGGCTCCCTCTGGTTGTCTGTGACCATATGCATGTAAATGGTCTGTGTGCTGTCACTCCACATGGAAATTAGCCTTTTCAGGGGCATGTTCGCAGCCATTCCTGCAAAGAATGACTGAAATGAATGACATCCTCTTCCTGACTTACCCAGGAGTACTGCTGCGGCCAAAGGTATTGCTCAGGCAGAAGGAAACCTCATCTGAGCTGGAGGCAGCTCCGTCAGCAGAGCTCCCCTCCTGCACCTC